TCTCTCTCTCTCTCTCTCTCTCTCTCTCTCTCTCTCTCTCTCTCTCTCTCTCTCTCTCTCTCTCGCTCTCTGTCTGGTAGTATCGTACCACATTACCTACAACTGTTACGTGGTGGTTGGGAAGTTGGGGCCGAATATGAAGATGTTGTTGCCGTAAACTGGCGTATGTGGCACCCACTTCCCAACCTTAAGGAAATGAGGGTTTTTTTATACGTGCATCGTTCAGTGTATGTGTGTGTGTGTTTGTGTGTGTGTGTGTGTGTGTGTGTGTGTGTGTGTGTGTGTGTGTGTGCAAACAACAATGAGTTGAATAATCTCTCTCTCTCTCTCTCTCTCTCTCTCTCTCTCTCTCTCTCTCCCTCTCTCTCTCTCTCTCTCTCTCTCTCTCTCTCTATCTCTATCTATCTATCTATCTATCTATCTCTATCTCTCTGGTATTACCGTACCACATTACTCATAGCTGTGACGTTGTGGTTGGGAAGTAGGGGCCGAATATGACGATGTTGGTACTGTAAACCGACGTATGTGGCACCCACTTCCCAACCTCGTAGCGGGGTTTTTTATATTTGTATTGTTCATATTATGGCTTTTTCTTCGATTTTTGCCATACTTTTTTTTTTAATGTCGCGAATGCCAGGAAAAAACTGACCTTTGTGCAAGGAAGACGATGACGATTCGCGCTCTCAGCAGGGTGACGACCGTGGCACAACGGTGCCGGAGTGCGTACTGCAGAAGTCAATGCTGACTGCAGTAGAAGAAAAAGCGCTGAAACGGGTGCGAGTGTGAGACTGGAGACAAAGTGAATGCGAATGTTCAAACAGTCAGCCGTTATGAAGATATGAACTCGGCCTACAGACCCCGAAGGGCAATTACATCACCCAATCAATCAATCAATCAATCAATCAAGTAGTCTTAAAAAAAAAAAAGCAAAAAATAAAGATTATCCAATCGAACAAATCGAATCCACTGGATCTCGATTTCAAAATCAAGATCCAATCCAATCGATTTCTTCGATTGGATAATTTTTGTTTTTTTTTCTCCTTCTCCTACTACGACTTGCTTGACATCCTCCCCCCCCTCCCCGACATCCTCCTCCTACTCCTCCTAATCTTCCTCCTCCTCCTCGACATCCTCCCCCTCCTCCCCGGCATCCTCCTCCTCCACCTCCACCTCCACCTCCTTCTCCTCCTCCTCGTCCTCCTGCTCCTCCTCCTCCTCCACCTCCCCCTCCCCCTCCCCCTCC